ATAGTCTCTGCATTATTGTGATCAGATCTTTTGTGACAACTGGCTAATAAAAACAACAATGTTGATTATGTCTCTGTGGAATTGTAACAAAGTAGGATAAAACTTCAGACTTCAGGTTTCACCAAGTGGCCGGAAGTTGCCTATTTTACAGAGTTAAGGTAAATTACCACATTCATCTCAGGTTGCAAGTAGAAAACAAACTTTGTGATCACTTTGCAAATTGGCAAACAAAGTGTATGTTTTATTTAAAAAACTATATGTTAGCATTTAAATAGGTTGTGACTATAAATAATTAAAGCTCATATTTCACAAATACCTTACTGTGCAGTGATTAAAAATAGACAACATCAATTTGATATTATAAAATGCTATTTCAGGCACTTTTTATGAAGTAATATCTTGCCAACAGATACTAATTTTAATTTCTGTTCTCTAGGAGAGTCATATATTTTACTATGTCACTCATAATCTATTTTAAACATCAAATGAGTTATTCTGTGTTACTTATATGAGTTTACAGAAAATAGGATATGAACAAATCCAAGTTTTGTGTTTCACAATACTAAACTTTACTGTTAAGCAAATAATGGCTTCTTTGTGCATTAAGTTTCTTGAAGGCAGGCTGGTTGTTCTCATTTTATAAAATGACATATGAACTATGAGTGAGAGTTGAAAGAGGAGGACGGATTTGTATTAATTTATCAAGAAGAAATCTAGGGCCGGGCGTGTGGCTCATGCCTATAATCCCAGCACTTTGGCAGGCCAAGGCGGGTGGATCATGAGGTCAAGAGATCGAGACCATCCTGGTCAACATGGTGAAACCCCATCTCTACTAAAAATATAAAAATTAGCTGGGCATGGTGGCATGCACCTGTAGTCCCAGCTACTCAGGAGGCTGAGGCAGGAGAATTGCCTGAACCCAGGAGGCAGAGGTTGCAGTGAGCTGAGATCTCACCATTGCACTCCAGCCTGGGTAACAAGAGCGAAGCTCTGTCTCAAAAAGAAAAAAAAAAAGAAGAAGAAGAAATCTTAATTTGGGAGATTAATAAAATCTCTTTAGAACTCACCAACATACATAACATTGTAAAGCTGTCCCAAATAATCCCTTTTAGAAAAAAAAAAAAAGCCTGTGAAGTTAATCTGGGCACCCAGCTAGTGTCTTTTCTTCTACATAGAAGACAGTCTCTACTTGACAATCTCTGACGAAAATGAATCTACCGTAAATGCCATAATGTTTTAAATCTTAGAGGAGTCTCAATGGTTAGCAGAAAAAAATATGTCATTATTGGGCTTTTATATACTTAACATTTCTCATTTTCTAATTTTAGCTTCTTCGATAATTATTTTTAATCTAGGTAGAACGGGCTCTAAACATGGAAGCATTAAATGAATAAAGGGCTGAATTCATTAGTTTGAATACATTGGCTAAATCATGTTTGCTTTCTCTGTTTTGTATCAGTAGCCAGCATAAAGGTTAAGAAAATAAGATTTGTAAGACTGACCCACGTTCAAATCACAGATCTACTGAAAAGTCACCAAGAAATGACTGACCCTACCTAAATTAAGTTTTTTTTTTTAATCACACATTGGGGATGACAGGGAATGGGAATGTTACAAGAATGAAAAGAACCGCATATAAAATGCTTAACATAGTGCCCAGCAAATGGTAAGTCAAGGTGAGCCTCTAAATAAAATTACTATTATGATGAACCCCTGTGTCATAAAAGGGACTTTAGAGAATGCCTGGAATCTAAAGATGAATAAATTGCTTAGTTATGCCCAGGAACCGACTCTGTTTGGTGGGGCTGAATTTAGGTCACTAACTATGAGAGGCTGTGATGTCTAAATAGTTCCTAATGTGGGCACAGATTATTTGTGTAAATTCTTCATGATAGTAGTGAAAATGAACATATAAAAGGCCTGTGTGCTATAAAAAATTCCGTTCTGGATCCAGTAAAATCTGGACCCACTCACTGGCAACTATCCCTGGAAGCTATAAATACCTTTTAGGGACCTTGGTGGTCAAGGGAAGTGCTTTCACAATTCCTGTATTGGCTTTGTTTTGCCTGATCTCTTCAGCAGAATTTTATATCCTTTGTGAAATAAGAGCCTAATCTAAATTGATAGTGAGTGCACAGATTCCTTTCACCAATACGCAAATTACATGAGATAATGCAATGATCCGGCTTAGGCCATTTATCATGCATTTCTTTCTATACAAATCCATGGTGTGGACCAGTCTAAATTATATTTCCCAGGGAAGTAACTAAAAGAAGCAAAATTAACTCTTGTACAATGCATGCTACTAAACTGAGTATTTACTCATTCTAAGTAATAGGAGAAAGTTTATTTTCTGTAGTCAGAGCCATATTAACAACAGGCACTGCAGACATTTTCTTACTACGTATGAATTCTCTTGCTGGAGCCGAGCTACCTCCCTTACTCTCACCCCCAGGCCTTATACAATTCCACCACAATCACATGTGCTAAGCCAGGTCCCGCAGATCAAACACACCAGGTGAATCCATTTTTCGGTCTCTCACATTAATTTTGCTTAAGGATACAGAAATATATTGAAAGGAGAATTGAGAATAAGTCAGAGTTACATCCTCACTTGGTGTCTTTTTTTATCTCATTTCAGAACTAGGAGTAGAAACTGAATCCTGGGAAAGGCTAAGATCGTAGAATCACGGCATATTTTTCCATAACTGGAGAAATTTCAGAAGAAAAGATATAAAGTCTAAAGATACTCTGTGTAACAATTCTTAGAGTTAACTTAATGAAAGGTGAAGAGAAAACATTCCTAGAATTAAGTGGAAATCACTAATGCTTAAGAGCAGTATATGGAAAATCTATACAGCATAATTATAAGAGAATTAATTGTGCTTTAGAAAAAGGGTCTAGTTATCAAAAACAATTTTATAATTTAATAATTTTTTCTGGAAGAAAAATTGCTATTATTTAATCCTCTAAAATAATATAAACACTTCTAGTCCATCAACTGAACTAAATACCATGTATAACCCCGGCAAATACATCTCCTTGTGGGACAAGAATAAAGCAGACAGGCATTATAAAACTGGTGGAGCTTTGTAACTGGAGGATTGGCCCTTCTGTTAATATCACATGGGACATGTGGAGATTAGAAACTCACATATGTGACAGGGAAAAGATGAGTTAAGATTTCTAATGATAAATGTATTCAAAATGATAAAAAAGTATAGATCATCAACAATAACAATGAAAACTTAAAGCCATTGTTGTTGATGGGCAGAATGTCAATTCTCTTTAAAAAAAAAAGTTCCAAAAATAATCCCATTATATTATCTTCCCCCTAGTTTAATGTGGTATTGTTTAATTTTTGTGCTTAACAATAATATGATCTTTTTATTTCAAGTTTGCTTCTGGATAATTAATAAAAGTGATGATTAATAATTCAATGACTGTTTCATGTTTACATTAAGAATATCTACATATTATCTAGTTAATTATGTGCATGTTAATAATTTATTTAACTTGAAAGCAATATTATACTTTGGTAGTTTACTTCTTTAATTAACATTAAAATATATAATTATACTTGGGAAGAATGAGTGGGCATATACTAACAACTAAATATGACAATATGAAAAGTATTTGATAGTACATTTAATCTCTCCCCTCCCACCTACCTTCACATTTATTTTCAGTGTAATACATTTTCATTAAAGATAATTAAAATACAAACAAAAAATGGTTTTGAAATCTATTTTCACAAATAACACCCAATCTTAACTTTTTAGTGTATTTTTTTTTTTTTTGAGACGAAGTTTCGCTCTTGTTACCCAGGCTGGAGTGCAATGGCGCGATCTCGGCTCACCGCAACCTCCGCCTCCCGGGTTCAGGCAATTCTCCTGCCTCAGCCTCCTGAGTCGCTGGGATTACAGGCACGCGCCACCATGTCCAGCTAATTTTTTGTATTTTTAGTAGAGACGGGGTTTCACCATGTTGACCAGGATGGTCTCGATCTGTTGACCTCGTGATCCACCCGCCTCGACCTCCCAAAGTGCTGGGATTACAGGCTTGAGCCACCGCGCCCGGCTTTTAGTGTATTTTTTAATCTAGCTTTAGCTTCTTAGGTAACTCTTACAAAACTAGATCATAAAAACTCTTCTCTTTAAAATGTAAATAAGATTTAGACACAAACAAGATGCTAAAACAAGAAATATTGACATGCATAAATACCATCAAAATAGGTAAATGTTTAAATAAAAGGTGCTAAAATAAATTTCCTTAAGAAAAAGAATACCATAGAACAGCACTCCTTCCTTCAGTTTATAAATAACCTATTTTGGATCTGAATGTATGCAAGATCCAAGAATTATATTTAGCTGCTGATTTCAATGTATTTTCAATATGGCACTACTGAATCCAGAAGCAGTATGAAAAAAGAGAGACAGCAAGAGAGCAAACTGCTCTCCATTTATTGTACATGAGTAAAAATAGTTGACTTCATTCTTACTGCTTACAGGTTTTGTAGTTCAAGAGGAAGTTATGAAGCAGCATGCCCATGGATTTTCGTAAAAGCTGGGAAAAGAAACATCAGTTGTCATTCAACGCTTAAGTATCTGTCCAGCCAATTATGAATTGAGGCGGATTCTAAAATTTTTAGTACACTCAGATCTTTAACCTGTCACAAAGGCAATGCCAACTTGAAGCAAAACTGCAAGCCCTGAGATGGACAACAAATTAAATGCCTCCAGGAGCTTCACTGTAGGTCTTTCAATGAACTGACTTAAAGCATGCTGAGGATTTTCTCAGCTGTTCTTGGCTCAGCAGGATGGAAACAAAATCAGCAAGTGAACAGCAGAAGGTGGATAGACAGTGTCAGAATGAAGAGTAGAACTAGCTATTGCAAAAAAAAAAAAAAAAGATGCATTGGGGGTCAGTCTTTCTCATCAGCAATGAGACAGAAATGGAATCGAGGCCTCCAAAACAAATAGCGAAGTTAGTATACGTACAAACACACTCCCTGCCCTCGCGTGCATGCCAGTGCTTGCAGCCGTCACACTTCCTTCCCGTGGCTCCGGGTCGGCACGTGCAGAATCCCGTGACAGGGTCACAGGGCACAGGCAGTGAGCCATAGGGATCACACTTACATTCTTGGCAGGAGCCTCCTGGGCTGCTTGGACTGCCAGTATAGCCAGGGGCACACCTGAATTGAAACAGTGACAAAGCAAAAGCGATTAATAGCAAGTCCAAGTCATGTCTTCACATTGTTGTTTTATGTATGTGTGGACTTTTGATGAAACAAAACTGATAGCAAGAGTCCACATATCAGTAAACTTTTTCTGTAAAGGGCTGAATAGTAAATAGTAGGCTTTGCCGGACATAGGAAAAAAATCAAGATTATGCAGTGAAAAATAAATAAAATTTTTAAGCATTCTGCTTTAAATTCCATCTTGTTGATGGAATTGAAAACATAATAATAATGGAGTCAAATTATTTTGTAATATTAGTCAACTAATGAGAAGAATGGGATTCTTTCTGAGGTTTGAAATTATACTTCATTTGTAGTATAATTTAGTGCTTCCTCTTATCAAATTGATTGTAAATGTTTGCCTGTAACAACAGTTATTAATTGAGTGCCATACAGAGTAAAAAATGGGCCAAATTTGGCCTGTGGACCATAGTTTTTCACTGCTCTAGATCATAAACTTTTCTGTTAAGTCCTCTTGTATAATTAGAGGTAAATAAAATTCTATATTGACTTCTGGGCTTTCCTATACTCAGGAATTTCAGAGCTCAAAATAACCAAAGAATAAAACCCATTGATTTTACTAATGAGAAAAAAGAGGCAAGCTAAGTGGCAATAGGCTACTCAGGTTTTCTATTTAATTTTATTCATCTTTTCTTTTTACCGTATCTTCCTCAAGATGGGCTTTTAATGTGTATCTGTGGAAGTGGGTTAATGATATGCAAACAAAATGTATAAAACTGATTTTGAAAATCACGAAGAGAATCCAGCTGGATGAACACTAAACTCAATCCATTAATTGACTCTTCCACCAATCTATGCATCCATTCACCTAAGTGTATTTCACTCCGGGTTATGACACTGGGAGTGGTAACTTTACACGATGCTAGCAGGGTCATACATTCTGGTTTGCCCAGGACAATTTCATATTACCTGTTGTTTTGACATAATTGCTGTAAACACTTCCTGTTTTTAATATAGTGTCCCAGATTGGACAACAAGTTATATATACGGTCAGTGTCAATATAACCAACAGTTAGAATTTTTGTTCAACAGGCAAGTATGTGAGGAAGTTGAGAGACAGTAGGGAATTGGAGCCAAAAGCTATAAATACTGGCAAGATAATCATAGACCATCTTTAGCAGCCTGAGACTGTGAAATCTGCATGGCTGACTGTGAAAGTTAATTCACCCTGTGCTGGTTAGAAAAGGCAAAAGACAAAGAAAACTATTTGTGACATTAGGCTTTTATATATTTATGTTTTTGATTATTGTCTTTTCAATGAAAAATTACAAATATTCAATGAAAGTAGCATTAAAGTCCACTTAAATGGCTTCTTAACATTTATAGGTAAAATAATTGTATTCTAAGCAGATTCAGATTGATTAAATGTTCAAAGAGTTTATTACAAGAGTGTTGAAAATAAAGTATGGGGAGAGGTTTCTGTATTACAGGGAAACTCAGGAAATTTAAGCAGCTTTAGACATAACCTGATCAGTCTGGGCAGGTCAAAAGATTATTTAAATAATTCAAGAAGCTCTCAGCTCTGGAACAGATTTATTTGGAAGGTTACAATAAAAATCTATCCAAGAACTTGGATAGCTGAATGAAAGCATTTTTTTCAGAGAAATATAACCTGATTATTTTTATGTTAGAGATGATGAGTGCAAAGCTATAACAACATTTGAGGACTGGAAAAACAATTTAAGCCACTCACATTTGATACTGTATGACCCTGCTCATCTATATGCTATATAGACTGTCAGCTTCTATTGATTAAATATTACTGGATATTAAAAAATAAATTTTCTGTAATCATTCTGCTTTAAGATAATAATTTGTTATTTTAGTGTACCCTTCCAGCCTTTTCTGTACACAAGCTTTTGTAGATACTGGTAACTACAATGTATAAATGTAGCTATACTACAAAAAATTTTTTTTCATGAATTACTGTAGATAATCTTTTTGGTGTCCAGTGATGCTGTTAGTCACCATCACCAGTGTTTAATGGTACAGGAAATGAGTATTAGCCTAACCATAAATACCAAAGCTTACTGGTGAATATTAACAAGTATGTGCTTGTATCACCTATATCTATATCCAAATGATGTACATATCCTTAGAACAAATGAAAATATTTTTAGATTTTATGTGGCTGTGAGTTCTTTAATTGCTGCTAATTTCTGTTGGCATGGAAATTGTGAATCCACCGTTTTATATATGTGCTATTATTGGATATTATGTTTAGAGTTACCACATGCAGATTATCTAGAAATATATTTTACAAATGTATAAAAATTGCATTGGGATTTATAAAATGTAAACGTAATTACTTAGTTACTTATTGCCATTATTAATACAGTTATTGCTGGTTATATAAAATAAGACTCTTAAGTAGGTGCTGATAATTAGTATTAGTTTATATTTCCAAGGAAACTTATCATTTAAGTGTTTCTAGGAGAATCTAGCAAAGGAGTGGGTAAAGCAGGACATGGAAAAGAAGAACTCTAAGCAAAGGTGTGATTTTAGGTGATGTCCCAGTCTCAGCCTGATTCCATGGAGTGCTCTGGAGCATAAAATAAGATCTCAAAACTTGTTCCACTTAGGTGCCAAAGAGCTGGACTTTGTACTCTCACACTGGTTAGTCATGGGCCATTGCAGGAAGGTGGGGTAAGTCCTCAGGTTTTTCTGCCTCTTCTGTTAGAGAGAAGGCTTCAGTGCAGGTGCCTAGGCGGGCACCAACAGTGTCCATTGCGCACTATTGTCACAATATTAGTGTAGAGTAGGTAGCCTATCAATGATTCCTGAGATTATAGATGAGGAAAATGGAACCTAGCTGAATTGTTGGAGTTGAGCGAAGTCCACGGATCTTTATAAAACTTTTATATTGGTATCAGTTATGTTAAAATTATCATGTGTGTATAATGTTAGTAGTTAATTGTAGTAACTCTCTGTTATATTAGAGGTAATATCTAAAATGTACTAAATGTGGTGGTGACAAGTTTGAGCATACAGGATACTGATCTTACAGAAAATATGTATCTAGAAGATATTCATTGCAACCTTTCTAGGCAATCAGTTTGGAACTATATTCCCTAATTTACCATTCGGATTACATTCAGAATTTAACAGCTGTATACATGCATTATGAGACTTTGTAAACAATATGGTAGGAGAAAACACTTAAACAATATTGTTTGCTATTGAAAAGGAAAACTGAATAACAAATACTTTATTGTTGGAGTACTAATTAAAAATTCTTAACATTATTTATATTTCGAGTTATGTATACACTTGCTGGTATAGTGCCATAGTACTCAGAGCAGTGATGTGAATGCAGTTACTTACAGACAATATTTTCCAGTGCATTAGAATAAGAAAAGTGTAGCCAGCTTCTTATTAGTAGTAACTACTGCTAAGCTTTTGAAAACTGATGTATTTGTTCTTATAAAATTATATATTTAAGTATAAAATTATATGTATATTAAAGTATAAATTAGATAATTGTGAAATAGCTTAGAATCTTTGAGAAAGTCTAAAACATAGGGTGGAAATAAACAACTTTCTTTGGACAAATTCTAAGATACACAAGTAGTTTTGAAAGCATTATAATTTAAACTACCAGAGGATATGCAAAAAATGATGGTCTTCAAATAATGAATGTTTTCCTGTTGTGATCCTTTACCGTATAATCTCTATGTATCGTTACTCTGTACGTTTCAGGACTGTTGGTACCTTTCACAGTAGTGGCCTTCATATCCCCGTGGACAAGCCGTGCAGCGGTAGTCATCAAGGCCTTCTGCGACACAAGAGGGGCTGAAACTGAATCAGAAAGAAAAGGATTGCAAAAACTTTTTAATCCATTTATTTTATAAAATTAAGTATTCCTATCCATTATCAAGGTTATTGGGACATGCTTTTAGGTGGCGATGAATAGCATCTTTATAATTACTGCTGAAGTTCTTATTTAAGGGTAGGACATCACAATGAAAAACTATTAGTAATAGTAACTGAGCATATATTGTTTGATTTTTGATGGATTAAAAATGCATCATACAAAGCATGTGAATATTCTGGAATTTAATAATGAGGTAACAGCTATAAATATGCTAAACATCCAGCAAAACTGTCCTATTGTTCACTAATCAAAAGAAAAACCCGACTAGAATTCATGCATATTTGTCTGATAGTGGAGTAGCTATTACTTAATATCTTTTAGGTTAAAAAAACGGGGCATAAAATCTATATAATTTCTTTTTCCTGAAAACTCAGCCCAAATGGCTACTGGTGCTTTAAGACATGAAGTGTGAATAAATGTTTCACTTGGGATAAAAGAGTATCTTTTCTAATTTACATCCAGATTTCAAACTACATTTTACTTTGAACACAAAGCAATGTGATTTAGTGTGAGGAGAGAAGAAGGGAAAGCTTTTTCTATGAAAATGACTATTTTATGGTCTTTTCTAATGATTAGATCTTATATAACTTCCCCGACGTTTCTAATAGAATACTGGTAGACCACAGTCTGTCTTGCTCCAGGATTTCTAAGATCTTATTCAATAAAAGAAGGACTTCACAAGTCTTGAAAACTAAACTATATTAACATGTAGGTTTGGGTTGTTACAGCTTCTCTCAGCTTTATTCCCATTAGGTAAAACTGAGTGATGCATTGGAAACTTGGGAAGAAAAAACATCTATCTGGCAGAACGATAATGCTGCAAACACCATTCTTCTTTTTGCTGCTTCACTAAATCAGTTGATGCTGAACAAGCAATAAGGGGTATAGGCCAGGCCCACAGATCCTTTGGTCAGGTGCTATTAGGACCTAATGTTAACTGTCTTGTAATACATTAAATCAATAGTACATGAATGAGTAATAAACTCCAATTTTTGCAAAATATGTGAACAAATTGATCTACTCACAAACTCATTATCCAACAAATTTATTTTTGCCTTCACAAAAAATAAACTTATAATTGACACACTCTGCCAAATTTTTAGCTTATTAATTTAAAGCCTAATACTGAGTGCATCTGTGTACTCACACACTCGCGAACATGCACAGGCACGCACTGACACACTCTTATACATATATGGGCTCTAAAAACCAGATTTTAGACATTTCCAGTGCAGCTCTAAAGAGCTAGTATGATCAAATTACATTTCGTTATAGTAAAATAACAAAATATCAATAAACAAATAAAATGTTTAAAGTATTATACAGGAATGTAGTAATTCTTGAATAGTTGAAATAATTTTTTTTCAAATTATGGTATTATAGTGGATTGCACTGTTTCCTTATATTACATAAAAGGTATTCTGGAGGGAGTAGGGATTCCATCCCCTTTGAAGCTTGAGTTTATTCTTTCTGTTCACAATTCCCTTATCTGCTCTCAATTCTCGTTTTGTGTGCAGCGCTGCTCAGAAATCCTTGTGCTTTTCTCATGGGGACCATCTTTTACATTTCCCTATGGCTGCTGATTCCAACTCCCCTCAACAGAATTTTTAAATTTACAGAGTTTGCTCTCTGTGTTGTCTCCTATGGATACTGCAGAGATAAATGAGCTTCCTGGAAGCCACTTCCTTCTGGTTGTGACCACAGTTTACTGGTCGTTCCTTTTCAGTTTCCTTTGCTGGATCTGTGGCATGTTCTTGATCTCCTAACATGCTTCACAATTCAGTTTTCTGATTTCTGCTCCCTTCTCCTCTCTCCTCTAAATGATCTCACTTAGTCCTAAGGGCTTTAAATACTGTACCTATCCTCACAGATCTAAAATTAAGTTTCTCCCCCTTCAAAAATACACCAGACCTTTCCCTAATTTTCCCATCCCAGTCAATGGTCACTCTATGTTTCCATTTGCTCTCCTGAAAACCATGGTGTCAACCACATCTTCTCTCTCACATTCCACCTATATTCTACCTGCAAATGCTGCTGGTACTCCCATCAATAACACCACTGGATTATCCTGTACCAAGTCACCTCTTGCCACTGGAAGATTTTTAGCCTTCAGGACATTTAGATATTCATTAGAGCTTTGCTGACTTCATTTCCCATCACCCTCTTCTCATTCACTCTGTTCCAGCCACCCTGGTCTCTTGCTGTCTGCCAAGCATGGGCCAAGTATGGGTCTGTCTCTGGGCCAGTGCATCACCTTTTCTCTCTGAGGGGGCTGCTCTTCTTGCAGGTATTCACATGGCTCCCACCATGCACATTTCTGCACAAGTCTCATCTGTTTGTGAAGATCATTGACCAGCTTATCTAAAATCATACCTTAGTCACTCTAAATTCATTAAGGCTCCTTTATTTCTCCTGGTAGTACTTGTCATTATCTGATATTATATTATATATCTATTTCTTTATCTTAGTCTCTTATAAAAAAATATGAGCTCCAGAAGCTAGGAAACATTGACTGTTTTGTTCACTTATGTATTCCCAGTAGGAAGAGCCATGGCTAGCATTCAGTTGGGCCCTCATTAACTTTTTCCTGAATAAAGAAAGAAATAAAATATTATGGTGACCTGCAAGAAATTTATAATTTGGTGTGAGAGACAGATATGTACACATATAGGACAGGACACATCTTTTATAGGACAGGACACACGTTTTATCTTTTATTCATAGTGTTGGGATGAAGTATATGCTTAGTAAATGTTCATCTCCTGAAAGAATGATTGAAATAATGATGTGAGGTAAAACGTGTTGTATATCAAATGTACAAAATGCATGCTATGCTATGGATAGGTTTTGTGGCAGAAGTGGGGTCTGAAAAATGCCTTTAAAAGTAAGTTAGATTTCACAGGCATTGTCTCAGTGAATAGCAAGAGCAAACTGCTAATGATGTTTAGATACATGCAAGAAACGCCAAGCTTGGTATCGTGTAGAAGGGAGTTGAGGGCATTCAGCCTGGAAAGGTAGTCAGATTGCATAGGTTTCTAATTCTCAGCCAAAGAGTCTGATCTTTCCTTGGGAAGGCAGTGGAAACTTCTAAGGTATGTGAGCACTGGCACCATGACATAAGAGTTAAACGTCTACCATATTTGTTTTGGTACAATCTAACGAGGACTTGAACTAATGCCATGGAAATGAGTCAGTAATCACTCAACACGCCTCCATATTTTTCACTGACTGCACAGTTTGAAGTCACAAATTTGAGATGTCTCGGCCTCCTCCATTTATTCCTTAGAATCTGTTTTTATTTTGGGGAAAAGTGCCTCTTTTCTTTGCCCTGGCTGGTTTCTTTACTTCACATTTTAATTCTTCTTTTCTCACCACATATAGATCCTCACTTTGTTAATTATCCTAATATGTCCCAAGCCTTAGGTTGTGATATTAGTGACTCATGAAATCCAGTCAGTAGGTTTTGACTAAAATTTTTTTCTAAAAATGTAAAATAATAAAATTAAATAAATGATATGGTCTATAATGCTTATATTTAGACATCTACACACACAAGTTTTTGTGTATTTCTGACTTAAGATGTAAAAAACTGTTTCTTACAGTGGGTGCAATCAGTAAAGTTTGAAAGTCACCGAACTTGCCATTTTAATTTGATATTTTGATTCTTTCAGGGTCTTTTGCATAAAAATTTACTCAAATTATACAAATTATATAAAACAATGAAACAAAAATGAAAACATACTCTGATATTGATTCTGCAAACTAATCATGGTAGTATGCCATCATTTCATTCTTGAAATTTCTTAAAAATGTAAATGCAAATTCTGCTTTCCCTATTGATGCTCAAAATTCATCAATGACTCTTAGAGTACAACCGCAGGAGTAACCCAAACTGGGCTACCCTGTTGATAACAAAATGTCAAGTTAACTTTTAGGTGTAATAGAGCCAAAAACTGCAAGTCATGTAGCCCAAGCATGTTCAACAGAAAAGCTTTGACCTCTAACAACACCAGGAACCGACTATTCCTCCCCTTGAAACAAGAAGACTGGGACAAAACCAGAACCTGAACACCAGAACTCTTCAAAAATGAGGGGTCCATTGGCCCAGAAGATCCAGGGCTAAAATCTGCCTTAATGTACCTTACCGTACGTAAGTGATCACATTTGAAGCCCTCCAATAAAACTTTGCCAAGCCAGCATTTCTCAGTCCTTTCCCTTGCCTTCTGATCCCTTGAAACTTGTCCCGTATCCCAAATTAGAAAGACAGATTCGAACCTAACTCCTGTCTCCTTGCTAACCAATTTTGCAATAAAGCCTTTCTTTTCTCAAATACCAGTGCCAAAGTTACTGGCTTCTCTGTGTTTCAGGCAGCAAGCCCATTCATTTGCTCAATCACAATAGTCAATTGCCACCATATTCATTGGGTCTCTCTTGTGAGAGCAGCAATTGATGCTATTCATTGCTCCTCTCTCCCTTGGTGTCAATCAATGGCAGTGCCACCCGGGTTCCCTTTCTTCTGACTGCTCCTGCCTTGGCTCTACTTTTTCTTCCTTCCCAACATAAAGTCCCATCTTTCCTTCTTTCTATATGCTTGCCTTGGATAACATTAGCCTGGAAATCTTATCCAACTTTAATTCACTTATTAACATATCTCTTCCTTCATCTGCTCCTGCAATTTTCAGATTTCCATTTCCTGCAGCTATTTGCATATTTCCATTCAGACAGATACGTTCTATCAATTTGAACCTATTTGAAAAATAAATTATCTTTCTCCTGTAAGAGTTCTCTCCTGGCTTCTCTATTTCAGTTAATGGCACCACCATTTTGGGGGGCAACCTGCCTAAAAACCTCAGTCTTCAACTCCTGCCCGGACCCTCACCCCTCACATCTAATTAGTTTTAAAATTTGTAGAGTTGCATTAAACAATTTTCCCACATTCATCCTCTTGTCTCCATTCTTGTTATTATTACCTACTTCAAGTTCTAATTATCTTTTGCCCAGGCTAGTATACCAGCCTTTTAATTCGTCTCTACGCTTTACTCATTTGCCTGTTTCAATTCATTATACTCAATTCTGTTATACCAGTTTTCCTAAAGTGTGGCCATAATCATATTAAAATTTTTTAAAAAAATAAAAGCTTGTAGTGTTTCCTTATTACACAGAAAATTAAATAACTATTTGGTAGGCTAGCATTTAAGGATTTCTACAAAATGACCTTCCTTCTCCCATGCATTTTTATCTGTGATTATGAAATTGTGTCTGAACTCCATGCTCCAAATTCTGTTAATTACTAGTTTTTGTACATGCCTTGTATTTTCTAAGCATTTGCCCATGTAATTTCCTACTATACCCACCAGTGCAAATCCTTAAATTCATTGTTTAAGATCTATTATACATACTACTATTTCTCTTAATATGTTCTTGAAGCTTCCAATATTAAGTGTGGTATTTTATGCCTTTGAATTCTCTTTACGTTTAAGTGGATACCCTTAACACACAGGTTTTATAGTGACCTCCTCCAAGAAATGGGATACTTCTCTTGTATATCTCCTGTGGCTTTGATTATAGTGTACCCAAACAGGGAATTATCAATTAATTATTTAATTTTCTAATGCAAATGGATTACATTTTTAAAACAATTAAAGAAATGGTATTATCTTGTTTAAATCTGGGCATCAAGGAGAAATTAGGGAAGGAGAGATGAAAATAATATTTTTCATACACCTACTACTTGGTCCCTGGATGCACAGTAAGACCATGTATATTATCCTCTTCAATATCCAGCTTGCCTAAAAATTTACATTTGACACCCTATAAGAGTCTTGTGATTCTAGCCAACAAAAAAGAGGAGCTTTCAGAGGAAAAGGAGATGATTTACAGGAAATGTTTTCAGAATGTATACAAAGCCAAAGATGAAGAAGAAAGTGAGTAGGCCCAGGTGCAAAGATCACGTGGTCTGAATTGCTCTGTGGCTCTTTAACACTCAGGATAAAGTGTCCAGAATTCTAATTCTGAACAAACTGCCATACATTATTTTCCAAAGCAAATTCTTAGAGTAAAACTACCCTACCTTACTGAAGTCTATAAATCACTTAACAGGAAGTGCAGGTAGTCTGGGCAAAAAGGTAAATGAAAACATCTAGGGTTGTCATCAATATATAATCCACTGCACAATGTTCAGACAGCACTGAAATAAAGTATTCCAGCATTTGTTTCTTCTTATGGCTGTGTTTCCATGGTACCAAGCTCAGACCATCTTAAGAAAAAGGAGGCTGTGATTCCGGAAGATGATTTTTTGGAGCATAATAATAAGTTACCTGCTTTAACTGTACAATTTTCTAATTGTTTTCTTGATAATTTTTCCTAGTCTTGAATTAAACACATAAAACAAATGGAAACAGCCAAAAAACTTATCTATATTTTTGTGGCTGTTTGGATGTAATATGCATCCAAACAATCCTTCATAGCTGATATAATGGGCAAAACCATATACAAACATTAGGCCAGTATATTTATGAAACCATGCATATTTGTATAATATCATTTGTTTTATAAACATATCTTACATTGATATTGGTACTTACATTTTAAGTAATAAGTATTTTTTACTTGGGACAGAGTTTCAAAGGAAAAATGAGCCACAGAGAATTATCTACTCACTTTTGTCATGTTTTTATATTATTAAAAATATCCCTATCTTAAATTGAGATTTTTGTCTACATGGAAAAAATAGCCAAATTATAGACAGCCCATGTGCTAGACAGATGGCATTTCTGATTGGGAAATATGGTTATATTTCTCAATCTTACTTGTTACTGGAAGAAATCAGAGGGCAGGCACATTGCTGACAGTCGTTTGGCAATCCCTTGACAATTCCATAGTATCCAAGAGCACATCGTTCACAGAAGTCACCAGCAGTGTGATGTTGACAATTCTGTAAAGGAAAAGGAAGAAGTTTGTTTTTAATTTAGTGAGAGTTAGGATGTATTTTATCATACAGTCCCTATCTATGAAGGTGTATCTATGAACACATATACTTTCTTACACACACACACACACACACACACACAAACTTTATCAATGACAGAGAACTCAGTGTTTGATACAAATATTTTTAAAGAAGCTCTTTTATTTGAGAAACTAATGCTGTGCTATTGCAGCTACACTGACAATAAGAGTTGCTATTCCCTTTTCCCTGCATCGATCCCTATGTAAGTTTTTTCTTCTACTCTAAATTGGAGAATACACTTCAAAAGTCTCTAAAATTTATTACTTCTTCTGGGCATTTATGTTTCTTCCTTTGTATCCCAGGTTTTAGCTCTACGAGATGTTAGAAAATGGTGCCGCAAATAGTGTGGCCTTGGTACATGCCCACCAGTGGGCTTTTTGAAGCCACCTCAAGGTGGAAAGCATAAATCTTTTAAGTAGTAATGGGAGCAAAAAAGATCTGCCGTGTTATCACATTAAGGCTGTTACTCTCTGGGCGTGGTGGCTCACACCTGTAATAAGAGCACTCTGGGAGGCAGAGGTGGGCAAATCACTTGAGGTCAGGAGTCTGAGACCAGTCTGGTCAACATGGTGAAACTCCGTCTCTACTAAAAACACACAAATTGGGTGGGTATGGTGGTGGGTGCCTGTAATCCCAGCTACTAGGGAGGCTGAGGCAGGAGAATCACTTGAACCCAGGAGGCAGAGGTTGCAGTGAGCCGAGATTGTGCCATTGCACTCCAGCCTGGGCGACAAGAACAACACTCCACCTCAAACATAAAAAATGAAAAAGACTGTTAGTCATCTGTTTCTTGTCAGAGGTAGGTGGTTCTTCATAAATACAGAGAAGTCGGTCTAAAACTAGTAATCTCAGATCAGTATCTTCTTTTTTATGCTTGCATAATAAGAGACATTGGGGTGATGTCGTTTAAGACCTTTCCACAAGGAAATGAGAGTAGCTTCAGAATAGTGTGTAAACAGCTTCAAAATTAAAATTCCCATGAAGCAGAATTATATTTAACACAATAATCAATTATGCAATAAGAACTTAGGAAGAGCTACGTGCAATGCACTGAAACAGGCAGTGAAAGAACATCCTATCTTCTAGAAATTGACTTAAACTGCAGGAAAATAATAATGAAAAAAAACCACCTGACAAATAATTAACATGGCAGCAAGAATGCAACATTGAATGCTGTTTCATGGGAATGTGATCCTTGCATGTAGGAGCTGAAAAAAAAGGAAGAAGGGAATTTGGAATTGTATTTTAGCTGGATTTTTTAAGACAGGTTTTGGACTGGTCAGAATAGTGACTTACAACTTATAAACAATATGAAAAGAAAAATTGAGAAACAAAAAAGTCAGTAACAAAATGGATGGACATGTTAGTGAAATGACTTCCTGATCATCTCAGCTGGAGCCACAAAGCTGCCTTCAGGCTCTGTATTGAACTTGGATGACATCCCATAGACTGGACTCTGCCTAATTTAATCAATCAAGAAGAATGTATTGATGTTTCATGTGTCTTCTGATGGCCAAACAATTGTTGGTATGGAATGGGTGGTAAATCCCAACAAACAACAGCCCATGTCATTTGCACCACAGATATTGCCATGTAATTAATTTTTGTTTGGAACTCTTTTTGAGAGTTTATGCTATTTCCTGCAGTGAAACTGATTGACACAGTGAGTTTTAGATCATTTATTTTTTAACATTTTTTGGTGTTATATTGGAAAGTATATTGTGACACAGATTTTATAACAATGTAAAAGGAATCCGGTTTTCCAATATGACAAGGTACACATCTCTGTTTTTGGCACAGAGCTCTCACCCAGGCTGAAGTGCAGTGGTGCGATCTTGGCTCACTGCAACCTCTGCCTCCTGAGTTCAAGTGATTCTCCTACTCAGCCTCCCAGGTAGCTGGGACTACAGATGTATGCCACCATGCCTGGCTAATTTTTGCATTTTTAGTAGAGATGGGGTTTCACCATGTGGCCAGGTCTGGTCTCAAACTCCTGACCTCAGGTGATCCACCTACCTCAGTTTCCCAAAGTGTCAAGATTATACGCATGAGCCACCGTGCCCAGCCAATATCAAATCTACTTCTACATCTCACCCTCAGTCAATGATAGCCCCCTATTTTAAGAGATCAGAAAGCTCTAATTTGGATGCTCCCTTGGTTTCCTGGCAAATGATTCAGTGTCTTGTCACATATTTTCCATCCCTTTGACATTTGTCTCTGTCTTTTGTCTGAAGCTACTCCACTCCTAAACTGGTTTCCTTGCCTACCTCCACATTTTCTCCAGCATCTTCATTCCCTCCTTTGTGGGCTCATTCCCTTAATATCTGAAATTGGTCAAGCCTTTCCTGTCTTAACAAAAAAATCTGTGAGGTCTCAAATTGCTTGACAATTTCTATCCTATTTTTGATAAGCTTTTAAAAAGAAATTGTTTACCTTCCTGGTCTGTACCTCTTCATCTCCCATTCACCCTTTAAACAGGCTTCTGGTTTCACCATTAAACATAATACCAGATAACCCATAAGATCTTTGTTGCTAAAGCAAAACTTACAATAATCAGGCCTCTTGACATGTAAGTTTTCTCTAGCCACTGATGTTTCTGGATACTCTTTCATGAAATTTTCTCTTCCCGTGGTTTCTTTAAGAGTAACCTGGTTGATTTTTCTCCCACTTCTATGGCTACTCTAATTCTCCTCTATGGACTCTCCCTTCCCTTTCTGTTTAATAAGATTGATGCCCTGAATTCTAACTTTGGCCCTCATCTCTTCTTTTTCTCCTCCACATTTACCTTGGTGATTTCATTCATTGCTATGACTTCACTTAACAGTATGCCCAAAACTCTGTATTTTATGTATTCAACCTGCATATTTCTAATGGGTTCCAGACTTCCACTTCTAATTGCTTCTTGAATAAATATTGTATAACACAGATGCACCTTAAATTTGAAGCGACAACAATTAAGTTCATCTCTCACTAAACCTGCTTCTCATTTCATCTGAGGTCACTGTTATCCACTCAATTGCCCAGGTCAGCAACCTAGAGGCCTCTCTTATCCCAGATATCCTTTAGATCATCAGTTCCATGAGTCTATTACTCTCTGTTTCTTGACTTTCTTGTTGCTACTATTTTCATCTGGTCACTGTCATATTTTATCTAGATTATCAGAATAGCCTCTTAACTAAAGATCCTGTCTCCATATTTTCTTATCTGGTGATTTTTCCACACTGCAATCACAGTGATGATCCTATGAACATATCAAACCATGGCCTTCTCTTGCTTGAAAGGCTACACTAGTTCTCAAATGCAGTCGGGATGCGTAAGTCCTTAGCATGGCAAGGAAGAGCTGCATAATGTGCCCTCCCCGACCCTCACCACCACTGCGCTTATCCCTCCAGCTGTACCTGTAGCCCCTGCTTTTTTGGCATATAATGCCATAGCCACGTGGGACCATCTGAAATTCTCAAATTATGCGGATACTCTTTATCACTGTTGGGACTTCTTATTTGCAAATCCTTAACTCTAGAGTGTTTATCGGGCTAGCACCTATTCATTTCAGCTATTATTTTAAATGTCACTTTCTCTGAGAAACATTCCTGATGCCTTAAAACTGACTTAAATGCTCCTTTTAGTGCATCAAACATGGGAGGCATTCAATGACTATTTTCGAATGGCTGAATGAATGAATGCATGTTCCAGGAAGTATAGATGAAACCGGTCAGGCTTTTGGCCAAATTTCATGTGTAATTGCAGAAAAATGGTTAGCAGGGCAAAACGATTTGTTGTATTTTGCCATTGACTTAAGTACCATAATCCTCTTTTATTCAACCATCCAAAGGAACCACCATTTTTTAGCAATAAAATACCATTCCATATTTAACAGTAGCATTATGAGAGATAATGGCTCCAAGATAAAACAATTATCTACGAATTGTAACTTCAAATCATTCAGCAAGGTGTCATGCTGATGAATAAGCGTCAACTGGGGAGTATTTTAAGAACATATTTTATAGATATAGAGATGAATGTGCCAAAAATACATGGGATCTTCAACAATGACTTTCAGCATTTTGCTTCTGCAGTAAAATCATTGCATAATGAATTATTTTATGTAACCTAAATAATTAATAACTGAATTAAAATCCTTAAAGCCAATGATCATTACTAAAAAGAGTTCAAAAGTATGATTTTGTTTCTCTTATACCTATAAGTCTAAATTTCTTCAACAGAGAAAGTAAACATCTTAATCTTCTCTGGACAGTCAATCTTGTCAGTCTTTCACTGGGTTGCTGACATACTAAACTTGTTTAATTAAATCAAATGTCCTGGTTAGATCCACAAACACACAACACATAAATCAGGAGCCTCTTTTTGAAACTTTTTGATATATCCTTTTCATATGACTTTCCTGTCTGCTCTGAAATAGTATACATAATGTTTTTTCTTATGCAGAAATTAGCCGTTAGAGAAAATTTCTATATTTTGGATACCTAATGAGAAGTTTAATTATATTCTCGAGTGGTATGTGCTAGTATCTCTTCAATAATGCGTTAGAATATATTAGATTTGTTAAGTTTGTTTTTCACACTGGAAACTGTTGGCATACATTCCTTTTACAAAATCAAATGAGTACAACATTAATATTATAGTATCTCAGGCCTAAGGTGAGAAATTACTTAACCTAACTTTCTTGCCATAGAGGAATCCTTCTATACTTGCCTTGAGATATCATTAAATGCATGAATTCTTATAAGACAGCTTTTTCCATCCTGTGAAGCTTTTCCTTACGGTGGCTAAAAAATTTTGCATTCCAATTTTCAGTCAGTGATCCAAGTTTTGCCTTCTGAAGCTATGAAAATTAAGTCTAATTATCTTTTCCTAGGGAAGGTCCTCAAATACCTAAGAATACTATTACTTCCTAAATCTTTGTT